CACTGTATGTGGGTCAGGGTGAGGGAGGTCACTGTGGGAGCCTTGGTTTAATATCTCATCAGAAGGACAGCACCTCCAACAATGTGTTGGTATTTCCGATCCCATAGTTCGCAATATGACTCAACAATCCAAATATGGTGCAGCAAGGTTTATTATGAACAGAGTGAACACAACATGCATTAACAAGTTACTACAAATGTCTAACAAATTATACTACCAGTCTTTGAAGACTGAACACAATGTCAGGTTAATGAATCATTTGGCTTGGTGCCATCCTGACTGAGTCTTCTCGAGATCTTTTCTGTCCTGTCTTTATAAAATGATTTAATCATTATTTTGGTATGTGGGATCGTTAGTACATTCCTTTTAATTGACTAGTTACCCTTTATCAATACTACCGGGATGGTACCAAACTCCTCCATATTGAACAACTTGTTCATTAATTGCTATTCTTGAGGGTTGCCTTCTATTGCTTGGCAGGCCCTGTCAGAATCTAAAGATTTATTGCTAAGGCGAGATCCTGTGTCAACCAATATCTTGGACCGTTTACTTCTGTGGGCTTGTTGTTATTTAATGATAAGAGGTGACCCCCTACCCTTTTCCAATGCTGTCTTGTCATTCATTCAGAAACAGAGTAAACCAGATGTGTCCTATCCCATGACTATCAGTACTTTCTCCATTCTACATTTGTTTGATGTTCATTATTATTAGAATACAACTTCTATAATCTAACAAATGCAATACATTATTTTAAAAAAGGTGATCGAGCTAATCCAGGAAACTACAGGCTCATAATCTTCAGGTGAGTTGTGGGCAAGGTACCAGAATCTATAATAAAAAAAAGTAACCATTCACCTGAAGAAGGAGAATATAATTAACAAAAGTTAGCATTGATTGACAAAAGGAAGGTCATGCTTGTCAAATTCTTTGAAGAGGTAACCAATAAAGTAAACAAGAGAAATGCAGTGGATATAACAACTACAACTTGCATTTGTATCGTGCCCCTCACGCAGAGTAGCGTTCCAAAGTGCTTGACAGTGGCAGAGCACGACTACAAGCCAGGGGGAGGGGGAGGTGACCGTAGGCACGGTCACATAGGAAGGTGTTCATGTGCGTCTTGTAAGTGGGGAAGGAAGGGGCAAGGTGGAGGGATAGAGGAAGAGTGTTCCAGAGTTTCGGGGCGTAATGGCTGAAAGCGCGGCCACCAATAGTGGAACGGAGGGCACGGGACTTCCAGAAGACTTTTGGTTAAGTGCCACACAAGACGCTCATAAGGCATGAGGAATGTCATAGAGGCAGCAGAATGGATTCAAGAATGGTTAGTAAACGGAAAGCAAAAAGGCTGAAAAGCAGAAGTAAGTGGTGTCTACAGGAATCGATGTTAGGGCTATTACTATTCACTATATATATAAATGATTTGGATTCAGGTACAGAAGGTGCTGTGTTAAAATTTGCAGATGACACCAAACTGAGGGTTGTGGTAAACAGTAAAGGGATTGCAGAAGAATGCAAGAATTCATAAACAGGCTAATAGAATGGGCAGACAGATGACAAATGAAATTTAATGTCAGGAAATGTGAAGTAATTCACTTCACCCGGAAAAATAAAAAGCCATTTATAATCTAGATCAGGGTGGTCCAACTATTTAGCTGCTGAGGGCAGATGCCCGATTTGAGAAACAGGGTGAGGTGCTCAATGCACAGAGGAATAGGGGGATAAAACCAAGAGAACTTATAGAGTTGAGGGCCACCCCATCACCACTTTGGTTAGGCCGAGGGAGTGGTGGAGTATGTAACCAGGTGGGGAGGCTTTGATCAGGGAGAGCAGGGTCACTGGAGTCTTTCTTTAACATTGTTTATTCTTTCAACTATCTCTGACGACTCGAGGTAGGTGCAAAACGCGGAATTGCAGTTGTATTCCTGAAATCTGCTTTGTGTGTCACATCAGCGAGCCAGTGAGGTGGCTACTTCGATTTGGCTCCATTTTTAAAGGCACAGACAGCCCGGAGAATTCATTGTGTCTTCTCTGTTGCGGTTTTGCAACAAAAATGACAAATTTGGATGATTTTTTGTGTCATCAAATGGGGGTGTTGACATCTCTCCTTCTGCTTCCTATTTTACTAATAGTTCTGCCGGGTTTTTACCTACATCATGCTTCCCCCGTTTTTAAATGAACCTTACTTTAATAATTTTAAGTGAGCCCTTGTGGGGTTCAGTTTGAGGGAGGATATGTTTTTGAGGCTTTAGAGGTGTGCATCCTTCAAATCTAATCATTTTTATAACTTACCTGAAGAAAGTTGTGACTATTCCCTGCAGTATGTTGACAGCCCGTATTTCTTTCAATAGATTTCCATATGTGAGCTCCTTGTCAATTACCACGACCACCTCTATACTATCCTTCCCTGGGTATGATAATCCTGTGTTTCCCAGAATAGAGTAATTTTGTGAATGGTGTCTGCATACTTGGATCATTATGGAGTCCTGTAGCTCAGTGGTTAGAGCGCTCGCTTTGCAAGCGAGAGACCTGGGTTTGATTCCCGGCAGAGTGAAACCTTGGGCAAGTTTCCTTACTCCACACGCCTGATAATAATCCCTCAAAAAAAAACAATAATAAATTGGCCATTTGAATCCAAGACTGTTTGTGGGACATTGCTGTGCACAATTAGCTGCATTTTGCTCATAAATGTAATCAATTCACTTTACAGTCTATTCTGTGAAGCGCTTTGAGACATCTAGTAGACGCGAAAAGTGCTATATCAAATGCAAGGATTATTATTATTATTACCATCAATTCATGGCTCTACGCTGCCACGGGAGCGAATTTTCATTTAATATCTTTGACAAGCGAGTGGTGGGCTATCAGGTTTGTATGAATTAGGATTCGCCCCCATGTCTTTTTCAAAGAATCAAGCACTGTATGAATTTTGGTGCTCCCTTGAGTGTTGTCTGCGTTCTATTAATCCTACTAATTATGAACAAAACGCAAAATACTGCAGATGCTGGAATTCTGAAACAAAATTTGAAAGGAAAATGAGTCAATGTTTTGGGTCCACGACCCTTCGTCCATATATGCTGCCTGACCTGCTGAGTGTTCCCAGTGACTTCTGTTTCTACGACTAATAATAAAAAACGGTTTCTCCAATCATGTCACCATTTTCTTTAATTCTTTATTAGTGTATATGTTCAGTTCTCAACCATTTGTCTTTCATTGGACCCCCCACCATTTCTTATAGAGGAACATTGTTAAACATTGTTCACATATAAAAATCATAAACAATTATATTAAATTCAAAATTCCCAAATAAACAAAAGAGCCTTAAAAATTAAGTTTGTCAGAAGCTGCAGAAATAGTATCACCTCATATATCTATGAAAGCTGAAGGGTTAATTCCCTCTGGGGAGCTTCTGATTACAGATGCATAAACAGGTTGCCCAGTTTTCTTTGCAAAAACAACAACAAGATTCCATTTATAGAGCGCCTTTCACATCGGGAGGACGTCCCAAGGCGCTGTACAGTTGGGTCAGGACCCGAAAAGGAGTAAACTTTAAATAATTCTTTAATTTACCTACAATGGGAGGTTGAGTTAGGACTGATAATAAAAAACAAATATATTTCCTATAATCAGGCTTGACAGATTTCCCAACTCTGCAGCAATTGTCTGCAGAGTTTCGTCCACAAAATATACTGTCAATTTACTTTACATGGAAGTGCTTTGAGACATTTCGAAGACACGATAAGGCACTATATCAAATGCAAGGATTCTTCATCTTCTCAAATTGGGGATGTCCAACACCTTTGGAATTATGCCAATCTCCAGCCAGAGATCCATGAATTTCCTGTAAATTTGTTCTGAAGTTCATTTGGGTTTCCATGGGATTAATTCTTTGTGAATCTTGTGTTTTAGACGTCAAAGTGCCTGGTATAAATTTATTCAAATACAGAAAAGGTTGAGAAGAAAAACAGTGTGTTTCAGGTCATTTTATATCCAAAATTATCTTGTCTCATCTACTCTATGGTATCTTTCACATTGGATCATGCCCATTCACCTAGGTTTCTCAATAAACAGTCGGGCCTTCAGCCTCTTTACAGCCACCCTTTCGAACTGCATGCCACAGTCCCCTCACCTTGATCCCTCCCTTGCCTCCTTCAAGGCATGTCTCAACAACAACAACAACAAGCTTACATTTGTACAGCACCTTTCGCGTTCGGAGGACATACCAAGACGCTGAACAATTAGTGTTTCGGACCCGAGCTGCGGGTCATGATCGGGGAAGGTGGAGGGCAGGGTGGGAGGGAGAGCGAAGGCACTATCAAAGAGGAGGGTCTTGAGACGGGTCTTGAAGGAGTCAAGGTAGGGGGCGATGCGTAAGAACTGCGCGATGGAGTTCCAGAGGGTGGGGGCAGAGCGGCTGCAGGACTGCCTGCCAATGGTGGCGTGAGTGAGGAGAGGGATGTGAAACAGGCATGAGCCCCGTGGTGTGAGACTGTGGTGGAGCCAGGCAATGTTGTGGAGGTGGGGGAAGGCAGAGTGGGTCATGACATGGTTGTGGGGTAGAAAGGATAATTGAGGGTCAAACAAGTCACCAAGTTTCCGGACTGGTTTAATAAGGTGGAGTGTGCAACCATGGTTGGTGATTCTGTCAGTGCCTAAGGTATGGAGGCGCTGATGGGAACCAATAAAGAGGGGCTCGGTCTTGAATGGTGAAGGCAGAGAGTCAGAATTGAGTGTCATCCGCATATATAATATGTGTCAAGACATATAATAGGGTCTCAAGACCCTCCTCTTTGACCAACTTTTGTTGGAGACATCTAGAAGACGTGAAAAACGGCATATCAAATGCAAGGATTATTATTATTGATCATATGATTCAAATATGTCTTTCAACATCGCAAATATAATTTGAGATATTATTTAACACATCAATTACAGAATCCTACAGTATGACCCAGATGACCTGGCAAAGGCGAAAGGAAAAAACATTTGCGGAGAAAATTTTTTTTAGAGAAAATCGTCCAGAATATTCACTGGTGTTGATTTTCAGCTGAGTTCAATCCCAAAACCATTTCTCCAAGTTTCGAGCACACCTATAGTTGTTTTCTCGTTTTACATGTTCACAAATAGCACATGCCCTTAGCTCCCAGTCTGCCATCTGCACTCTGTAGTATTTCCTCCACTTAAAGTAGGTCATGTACAATTCTTGGTCTTTATCAAGATGGTGCAGGTACCCTGCCAGTTCTTTAGCTGATGTAAAATCGTCTACGTGAATGAAAGAATCTGCTGGTACAAAGATCTCATAGTTTTCTCTGGACGGGCCCAAGACCACAGGCACTGTGCCTGTTTGCAAAGGGTTATAAAGCTTTTCAGTAATGTAATCCTTATGGATTGAGTTTTCAAAGGAAAGGTAGAATTTGCAACTAGTTATAAATGGTGTGAAATCATTCTTGTTGATATATTTCCCAAAGGCGCGCCCATACACAGAGACATCAATGTACTTGATCAGTTCTTTATAGTAATTTACTCTTCTGTGTTTAGGATTCCAGTGGCTCACAACCCAACACACTAGCTTGCTCTTATTGGGAACTTTAAAATCTGAAGAATCTGGACTCATAATCAGAGAACCGTAAGGCACTTGAATATCTGAACCGCGAAGATATGTTAAGGTTAGGTTAAATTGTTGGCCAAGCCCGTTCATCTTTGGACTGTGGATCGGTGACTCCATGTTCATCCAAACCCATTTCTGCAATGGTGGCCGTGGCTGTTTGGGCAGGTTGGAAAGGTGCTTACTTATGTCCCTGTGATGCACAATGATAGCATGGGATTTGTTATACAGATTTCTATCAACAGTCAAATGGCAGCCATGGATGTTGAACCTTGATTTACAAGAATTGAGACTAAAAACCTGCTTAAAAGGCCACATCCAAATGAGCACAATAGTTCTGTTCTCCTCCTCAGTGTTTTGAGAAAAGGTGATTTTTAGACTTGGAAGTTTTGTGGCTGATTCCACAGGAATGTAAATCCATCCGTTTAACTGCTTGACGTATACCAACAGTAAGATTGCAGTGATGACCAAAATAATTATGAAAATTAGAATTCTATGCAGTTGTCCATTGTTGCAAGCTGGCATAATGCTTCCTGTAAAAGGAAAATACTTTTATTAAAATTGTATGGAAAACTGGACCACACCCGAGATAATAGAGGCAGAAAGAAAAGCCTAAATAACATGAAAGAATAACATGGAAATAACGCAAAGAAAGTAAGACAGTGGGGTGAAAATTTTGACCGTGGTATGCTAATTATCACATTGCTAATAGGGGTCGTCAATGTGCCAGCTATAAATCAAGTTCACTATTGTAGATAATAGTTAACTAAATACAACAACAACAAATTACATTTGTATAGCGGTTTTCACGTTGGGAGAACGTCCCAAGGCGGGGGGTTAGAATCAGGAGGTTGGGGTCTTGAGACGTTCCTTGAAGGAGGAAAGAGAGAGAACGAGGTGAAGGGACTGTGGGGTGGAGCTTCATAGGGTGGGGGCAGAGAAGCTGAAGGCCCGCCCACTGATGATGGGGAGTCTGACAGTGGGAGGTGGAACATGCTGATCGGAGGGAGCGGACAGGGTGATATGGAGTTAGCAGGTCACAACGGTAGGGAGGAGCAAGCCCGTGGAGGGCTTTGAAGGCAAGGATGAGAATTCTGAATGACCTGCAGCCTGTGGATAGAAGAGTTGGGAAGGCCAACAAGCAGGGAATTAGTGTAATCGCACCTAGATGTAATGAATGCATGGTTGAGGGTCTCGGCGGCCTGAGGTGAGAGGCATTGGCAGTGCCGTTTGATGTTGTGGAGATGAGGAAAGGCAGATCAGGTCATGGCAAAGATATGGGGTAGGAAGGACAGTTGAGGGTCAAAATAAGAACACAAGTTTCAGACTGGCTCAGTGAGGTGGAGTGTGCATCCATGAATACTGATGCTGCCAGTGACTGTGGTGTGGACACGTTGTAGGGAACCAATCAGTAGGGCCCTGGTCTTGTTGACCCCATGAGTGCGGATAATGTCATCAAGTGGGAGCACATACATGTTGAAGCAAAGGGAACCAAAAACAGAGTCCTGAGGAATACCGCATGAGACGGTGCGGGGGCTGGAGGAGAAGCCATTCGTGGAAACAAAGTGGAGATGGTGCAAAAGGTAAGATTTGAACCAGTTAAGGACAGGACCATGAAGGTTGAGCTGAGAAGAGAGACAGCGGTGGATAGAGCGGTCAACAGTGCTGAAGGCAGCATAGAGATTAAGGAGGACAAGAAAACATTCGAAAAAATAAATAAAGTCAGTAACCTAGGACGCTTGATAATTAATTATCAAAGACTGTCGATGACGAAAGGTAGTCAGTAACCAAAAACAATCAAGAATCAAATAGAGTCAAGAAGCCAAAGTTGGTAAATAAGACTGGCCATAGGTGTGACCCTCCCAATTTGGTCGCAATACTGAGGCTGGAAGAAATCTCACTGATTCAGTTGTAACGTTTGGCATGCCAACCAGTGCATCGAGTACATTGCAGCACATCCCCAGCACCGTATTGGAGTATCAGCATTGGCTACATAGATTCCAAGTCCTGACATGGAGTCTAAACACACAAACACCTGACTCAAAGTGAGAGTGCTACAAACTGAGCCAGACTGACACACCGATTCTCCAGAACACTCATCCTCCCATCACGCATCAAGAAGTTTAGTAAATGATTTCAGTGTCCTGCCCTCAATCACATTTCCCGATAACTCATGCAAGTCATTAATTACATCCTGGGCAAAGAAATACTTCTTGGAATCAGACCTAAAATTATTCTTTGCAGCCCAAAACAATTACACCGGTATCATCCTGTTTTGCTGTTTCAGCACATCTAAAAGTATTGTTCTGAATTTACTTTCTCAATTCCATTTAAAATCTTACATACCTTTATGCAGTGTACGTGAATAATTCTCAATCCAGAAAGCAGGTATATGACCTCTTGTGTTCTTAGGTCGAAACACTCTGATCATGAATCACCCACTGGTTCACTCTCCCCTCGAGGATTATGTTACACTTCCTGCTTTTTTCTATTTGCTGTTTCCTTCTCTCTTCGTACTTCTCGTCATATTTCTTCCAGTCAATGATCTTATTTGCTCCATCGCTATCACTATCACTATTCAAACTGCTAGAGATTGAAGGTAACCACTCGGGCTTCCATCTCCCCCTCTGAGGGTTTGAAGTCTTCCTCTCGATACTGTCTTCCTACTTCTGGGAGGTTTCTTCACAGACTCAGATTCTTTCTGCTTATCATCATGCTCTTCCTCATATACATCATATTATTACCACCATAATGGTCTAGTTTTGCTTCAGTCTGCAGAATAACAGAAAATATCTTGCATTTTGCACTTCACAGGCACTAACAGATATGGCAAACCCATCCAGTTTTGCAGCATTTTTCCATGTGGGTGCAATTAGCCCATCTGGTTTTGGAGCATTTCAACAGTTGAACGTCAACAAAACGCAGACCCTCCTGCTTGTCTCCACACCTTGGGTGCTGACAGTGATGACCCTTTCTGCCTGACCACACTACTGTATCTCCCCTCAGGCCGCCGAGACTCATGTTCAAATATTCATCACATCTAGGCTCGAATATGCTAACTCCCTGCTTGTCGGTCTTCCCAACTCTTTCCTCCACAAGATGCAGATTAGGCCTCTTCAACTCGTGTCCTCTCCCACACCAGACTCCGTGAATCTATCAACCCAACACAACTCCACTGGCTTTCCATTCCCCAGAGGATAGAGTTCAAAATCCTTGTACCCACGGCCTTGCTCCTCCCTATCTCTGTGACATGCTAACCCAACACCGGCCTGACCTCATCAGCACATTCAAAATAAGAAAAGAAAAATACGCATGTACAACAACAACAACAACAACTTGAATAGATACAGCGCCCTCCACGCTGGACGGCGTCTTAGTGTGCTTCACAGTAACAGATCCCGGGACCGAGCCAGGGGGAGGGGGGGAAGGTGACCAAAGGCGCGGTCAAAAAGGTCTTCAGCAGAGACCTGAAGGGTGGAGCAGAGGACTCGGGGGACAAGAAGGAGGCCAGACCCGGAGAAACGAAGGCAACGGGCACTGTTTTGAGGAGATAGGAGGTCAGGGACGTAGAGGGGTGCAGAGGAGAGGTGGGATTTGAAGACAAGGGTGAGGATCTTGAAATTGATCCTCTCTGGGACAGGCAGCCAGTGCAGTCTGACAAGGACTGGGGTAATCGGGGAGCGGAGTTTGGTGCGGGTGAGAATGCGGGCAGCAGAGTTTTGAATAATCTGGATTTGAATAATCTGGATCTTATCCAGGATCTATCTATTGAGCCTTCACCAAAACATATTACGGAACCCAGGGAACTGCATCTGGTCCACATTCTTTAAGCCATTCCAAAAATTAGATAAGGTGCTTTCTGCATACAGTCCTTCACACATCCCTACCTACATTAAGCAATGATTTTAACTCTTTCCTTACAGTTTGTATAATGATTCTCAATCCACAAGACTTGTGAAATAAGTACAAGAAAAACAATAACAAATTTACATTTATATAGGGCTTTTTACATCGGGAGGATGTCCCTAGGCACTGTGCGGCCAATGCTTCGGACACGAGCTGGAGGTCAGGATTGGGGAAGGTGTAGGGCAGGGGAAGCAGGGTGATTGAAAGCATGGTCGATGAGGAGGACCTTGAGATGTGTCTTGAAGGAGGCAAGGGAGGGAGCGAGGTGGAGTTCCAGAGGGTGGGGGCAGCCTGCCTGCGAACGGCTGTGATGGGCAAGGCGAGAGATGCGAAGCAGGCTGGAGCCCATGGATCGGAGAGAGCGGGCAGGGTGGTAGAGGGTTAGTACGTTGCAGAGTGCCAAACAAGACTCCCAAGTTTTTGAACCGGCTTAGTAAGGTGGAGTGTGCATCCATGGATGGTAAGGTGTGGAGGTGCTGACGGAAGCCAATCAGGATGGCCTTGGTCTTCTTGACGTTCAACTGAAGAAAGTTAGCTCACATCCAGGACTTGATGTCCTACAGACATTTTGTCAGGACAGCAGTGATACTGGAGTCAAAGGTGGAGAAAGAGAGGTACAGTTGGGTGTCATCCGCATATATGTGGAAGTTGATCTCATGTCTGCAAATGATGTCACCAAGAGGGAGCATATGGATATCGAAGAAGAGGAGACCAACGACAGAGCCCTGAGCAATGCTGCACAAGATAATAATAATAATAATCCTTGCATTTGATATAGTGCTTTTCACATCGGAAGGACGTCCCAAAGCGCTTCACAGAACACACTGTAAAGTGAATTGATTGTATATTTGTGGGCCAACGTGGCAGCCAATTGCGCACAGCAATGTCCCACAAACAGTCGTAGATTGAAAATGACCAATTTTATTATTTATTAAGATGGTGCGGGGCTAGAGGAGAAACCGTTTGAGGAGATGAAGTGGAGGCGGTGTGAGAGGTACGGTCTGAACCATTCAAGGACAGAACAGTGAAGGTTGAAGTGAGAGGGAGGCGTTGAATGAGGATAGAGTAATCAACGGTATCAAAGGCTGCAGAGAGGTCGAGGAGGACGAGGAGGCAGAGGGAACTCTGGTCGCAGATGAACAGAATGTCATTTGCCACTTTGACCAGTAATTCCTTTATTCTCAGTTTGATTTATTTGGTATTGTACAAACATATGACAAGCATTAAACAAACCCCTCATTTACATGTGGAATTATGACTATTCAAAAAAAAATCAAGACATCACCCTTATAACCCATATTATCCTAACATTATTATTCTTAACTATAAACATATACTCTTATAATGTAATAATAATAATCCTTGCAATTGATGTAGCGCATTTTCATGTCTTCGAGACATCTCAAAGCGCTTCACAGAATATACTGTAAAGTAAATTGACTGTATATTTTTGTGGGCAAAACAATCATAAAGAAATTAAACCTGTTTGGCTCATTTTGCTGCCTCAGCAGCGAAATATTCCTCCAAATATTAAAAGATTCCACTTTATTCTACGCAGCAAGATTATATGTTCCACTTTCTACCGTTAACATAACCAGTTTCATCTAGGTTTCATACTTAACAAAGGATAAAATCACAAACCCAACACCATCGAGTCCATCTTCCCCACCCACCAGCAAGCTCACAGGAAGACCAGTTCCTCTCCAGTCACCTTTCATATTTGCAATCCTTTTTCTTCTCCTTTCTTTTGAATGTCTCTCCAAACATGGCCCTGCCCACATTTTGCCACCTGCTGTACCACTTATGTCTTCATTAATTTCCCTTTCTGGTGGACAAGCCTATTCCTCACCCACCATAATGTCTCCTTTGTCGCATATAACATCAACCACATTTACCTTGCTGTCTCAATCTTTAGTCCTTCACTGGGCCCCCAAATGATGTCTTGTTTGGCCATCAAATCTTATCACACAAATCTTTTCAGGTAGTCTCTCACCTTCTTCCACACTTGTGCTAAGGGGATTCCCATAACACATGTGATACTGTTTCTTCTTTCCCACAACTCCATCTCAGGAAGGCTGCTACCAACACCAATCTATTTTTGAAGAGGAAACTTCTATAAAGGAGCCAATTATTTATGACCCTGCAGATCTCTATGCGAGTTTGTTAGGTACCCATAGTTCACTCTTCTAAAACCTCACATTTCCCCTTATTCATCTTGATTACTTCGAGGCTCGACTATGCAAACTCACTGCTTTTCAGCCTCCACAACGCCTCCCTCCACAGGCTGCAGGTTATTTAGAACTCTGCAGCCCGTGTCCTCTGCACTAGGCTCTGCGACCCTATCAACCCATCCTTTCCCAACTCCACTGCCTTCCCATCACACAGAGGATACAGTTCAAGATCCTGGTCCTCACCCTCAAAGCCCTCCACGGTCTTGTTGCCCCCTACCTCTACGACCTCCTAACCTCCTACCAGCCTATTTGCTCCCTCGGCTCAGCGGGCTCCAGCCTGCTTCATGTCCCCTGCCTCGTTCACCTCACTATTGTCAGGCGGACTTTCCACTACTCTGCACCCACACTCTGGAACTCCATCCCGCAGTCCCTCTGTCTTGCCCCCTCCCTCGCCACCTTCAAGACCCATCTCAAGACCCTCCTCTTTGACCAGGCTTTCGATCTCCCTGCTTCCCCCCTGTCCTCCACCCTCCCCAATCCTGAGGTCCGTAACTCTGTCCGTCCAGCAACTTGGGACGTCCTCCCGACGTGAAAGGCGGTATCTAAATGTAATTTTGTTGTTGTATTCACCATTGCTGCTAATGCCATCTCAGCCTCCGTATCAATGACCATCATCTTCCCTATTGTTCATTTGTCCCAACACATGGCACTGTATAAGTTGCTGCTGCTGCTGTTCTTTTATTACTGAGATTCACATTTGTCTATGTTTGCTCGGTTTATTCAGCATAGGGCTTTAACATATGAATAGTTGGTGCATATTACAAAATATTTGCATTTGATGCTGCACCTATACAATTGATACTTGTCAAAGGACTGAACAATAATAATCCTACCAATTGATATGGCGCCCTAATATGTTTTCTAGAAGTCTCAAAGCACTTCCAGGATACACTCGAGAATGTTTGTGACTGTGCGTTTTATCAGCGAAATGAGGCAGCCAGTTTGTTCACAGTCACATATCCCACAAATTACCATGGCGTAAGTGACCAATTTTATTTGTGGTTTCTTGGCCAGGACACTGGGAGAACCTCTCTTCTCTTTTTAAGTAGTACCATGGGATATATAAGGTCCATTTGAACAGGCAGATGGGACCTCAGTTTCATTCTAATCTGAAGGACTTCAAAGGTAATTGTTATCAAAAGTATTGACTCTGTATTTTATAACTGAATGAAGCTGGTATCTAGATCAAGTTGAATTGAGGCTTTGTCATACCAGCTCTTGGATCGTGAGTTCCCCTGTTAAGGTCAAATTCATTTTAATTGAGATTAATAGAAAAACACATAATGCTGAGTAAATGAAATGAACAAAAATACTGGG